TTTGATCCAGGAATCCTACTACTGGGCATATACCCAAAGGAAAAGAAGTTATTTTATCACAAAGACATTTGCACAAAAATGTTTATTGCAGCACAATCCACAATGGCAAAGACGTGGAATCAACCTAAGTGCCCATCAACTAAGGAGCAGATAACAGAAAATGTGGTATATACATACCACAGAATACTACTTAGCCATCAAAACGAATGAATAATGTATTTTGCAGCACTTGGGTGAAACCGGAGAGCATTATCCTAAGTAAAATATCTCAGAAATGGAAAAACAAATATTACATGTTCTCATTTATAAGTGAGAGGTAAACGATGGGTATATATGGCCATAAGAGGTATTGGATATTGGCTATTGGAAACTAAGAAAAGGGGAAGGTGGGAGGGAAAAGAAGAATCAGAAATTACTCATCAGGAGCAATGTACACAATTCTGGGGATGAGTACACTAAAGCCCCAACTTCACCATTACATAATTCATCCATCTAAAAAAAACAATTGTTTCCCCTAAATCTGTTGAAATGAAAAATATAACAAAAAATTCTTCTCACAAATATAGAATAGTTTCTTAAAAGATAAAACCCACTATTATTACTAACCATTAATATGCTAGTATATTACTTCTGTAGAAATGGTTTCTAAATCATTTTTTAAAAATTATTCTTCTCCCTTCATTTTTATCTTCATATATATTTTCTTTCTTGACTAAATGTCACATTTTCATAAAAAAGAAAATAAGTGTTATATTACTTTTGGAATTTATTAATTTGTTATACATATTAATTTCCTTAATTTGAAGTTGTTTTCCTCCCTTCTCATGTCTTAAATATTATGTTTAATTTGAAACTATTTGAGGGGGTAGAGAAAGAGACAGAGAGACAGAGAGAGACAGGGGCGGGAGAGAGATGGAAAGAGAAAATATCTGTAGGTTTAAAATTTAAAATTCAAGAATTCAAGGCTGGGCAATTAGCCATTGAGAACACCCAATCATTTTACCTTGTTTAACTTCAGGATGCTCACCAAAGATTTGTCTGATTATAGTATTTGTTCCTATGTAATTTTCTATGGGGACAAATAATCAAGTGACACAAAATGTCCAGGTCACATGACAGACATTTCTTACCATGAATCAGTAAATTAACATTCTTGTTTGTTTACTGAATGTCTACCATGTTCCAGGTATTGGTTCAGATACCAGAGAGTCAGCAGTGACAAAACAGAAAAAATTCTCTCCTTAATGGAGCTTACACTCTCTTGAGGAGATAATCTCCAAGCAAGCAAGAAGTCAAAATAATTCAGAGAGCCATAAGTGCTATAAAGAAAATCAAACAGAATAATAAAATGGTATAAAGACAAAGAAAGGGCAATTTTACATGATGTGATTAGGGAAGGCTTCATGAGGAAGCAACATCTGAAGAAGCATATAAATCATAAGGAAGACTTCACCATGCAAAGATTTGTGGTAAGAGAATTCTAGGCAGAAAATTCTAAACAATGTAAATACTCCAAAATGGGGGAAAAAACTTGTTTTGTTCAAAGGGAACATTGGTATAGCTGAAGAGTTTGGGAAAAGAGAGTATATTATGTGAAGATAATATCTCCTGTGAATTTGATCTGTGTGAGTCAGCCTTCCACATCTGATACATCTGGTACACTGTCAATATTGAGTTTTGAGACCAGCAGTGCCGATAACAGACCTGGTGTGGTAGGAACCTCTAAAATGACCCCCAATAATTCGTATATCCTGGTATCTACGCTCTTATGTTATTATGCTTTACCAGATTTGGTCTCTGTAACCAATAACATATGATACAAGTCATGGTAAGTCACTTCTGAGATTAAATTATGAAAAGACCAAGGCTCTATCTCGGACCGTCCCTCTCCCCTGCCTCTCTCTCTCAAATCACTTGCTTGCTCTAGGGGAGGCAAGCTGCCAAAATGAGAGTACCCCTAAAGAGAAGCCCATGTGGCAAAGAATCAAATAGAAGCCTCTAGCCTCTAGCAAGTGAGAAACACAATTGCCAACCACCACCTGAGTGAGATTAGAGGCAAATTTCCTAGCCAGGTCAAGCTCTTCTATGACTGGAACCTAGTCGATGGCTTGACTACCACCTTGTGAGACACCCTGAGACAGCACCACTGAGCATTCAGCCTCTCATGGATTCCAGACCCTGAGATACTCTTACACAAACAAAAAACTGAAGGAAGAAATGAATAAGCAGCAATTGAATGAGTAAAATAAACAACCAAATAAACAAACAAAAGTTTGGTTTTACGTTGACACCTAACATTCATTTGAACTCCCTACCATCCCCACTTGAATGACTATTCCTCAAAAAACATAACTATGAGGATAATTCTGCTATGAGGAAAAATTTTAGCATAGGATCTAAAGGTTTTTCTTTTAGGCAATCTAATTTTTTTTAAGATGTTCATATGTTCAATTATTACACATAATCAAGACTTGACTGTTTCAATAATTTTTAAGCAAATGCATACACAAGGAATTTAATTTTATCACCCCTTGATGTATCTAGAGAAATGATCGCAAATGAACATTGTAAAAAACCCTACAGTACTAATTTCTATTTGTAACTGAAAAAATTGATCCTAGAATTTGCACACATCAAAATGTCTCTATCAGTTTGCTTAAATGATATACATTTTAATGTATGCTATATTGCAATTCTTACATGCTTTTACAATTTTTACAGATTGCCAGGCATATACACTTAAGGCAAAAGATGAAAAGAAGAAAAAAAAATCACTGAAGATCCATTAAAGACTCATCATCTTATTTATATCCCTGAGGAAATCATAAGGTATCTCTTCTTGAAGTAGTTATAAAACTAAAGTTGTTTTTCCTTTACCTTTATATTCATTGAAAGTGCAAAATAAAGGATAGTAGAACTCCCTCACATAACTGTAAGTTACAGATATACAGTGGTGATCAAAAGGTATAATACAGAGTGAAAACAGTTTATTTTTATTTGAGGCAGAACATCTATTTGGAACTCTCATTCTATCTACACAGAAACTATCATAAAGTTCTCCATATTTTATGTCTGTATATGGTTCTCTAGATTTTTGGCAATAAGTTATAAAATGAACATACCAGATTACAAATAAGTTTGAATATGTTTCTTAAGACGTAAAAGCTATAACAGCTATACAAGTATATACATATATATATGTGTGTGTATGTATGCACCAAAGAGACCCAGTATCATTTCTAATAGATCTTCACCATGTTTTTCTATGCCAAAAATGGTTTATGTATATTATTCTACTTATTTTACTTATGTATAATACTGGGCCATGGTCTCAGCCAACAGAATGCCCATGTGCCAATTATCAGTATTGTTCCTCTTTATTTTGAATTGTTTACACAGCTATTTAATGTAAAGTCCATATTATCAATCTATATCAAGTTTAGATTTATATTTAGAATTTATATTTAAAACATATATTTAAAAACCTGACAACCTATGTCAGGTTAATTTTGTATTTCAAATCAAAGTCACTGTTTGAGAGCAAAGGGAAAAATGACTCTCCTCAGCATATTCAATATTTTCTCCTTGACCTAAATGTATATATTTAGATGAAGGGAACAACTGTCCTTTTATATTGGTTTAGCTTTCACTTGGCCACGTTTCCACTTACTTTAAGTGTGGCAAAAAAAAGCATTAGGGATGGAAACAGTGGCACTACCTGTATTTGTAGAAGATTAATTCTGGAACAATTAATACTCTCAACCATGTTTGCATCTCTGTTTATCCCCCAGTGTGGGACAGGTACCTTGGTTTAGGCCCATGTATAATGCTTTAGCTTAGAGAAAGGAGTTACTCAAAAGTGCAGGGTGTTAAAATATGGAGACATTTTCTCTTTTTCTTGCTTTCTCCTTATCTTCCACTTATAAAGAGATAAATAGATGTTTTTTCTTTATTTATATATTTGAATAACCTATATGATTATTGAAAGTTATTTTCATAATTATGTCATTATATTGCAATGACAAAATTTTCATATATAATATCTAAAATGTACTTGAAGATATTTTGTTGATATATTAGTTAAAAAACAATAAAATTCAGTCTATTTAGCTTAAGAAAAGGATCCCAAAAGTAAAAAATAAGATTAAGTGTTGGGTCAGCAGAGGAATGTCTTTTAGAAATGTATGAAAAATTAATTATTATAATTAATATTTTTCTGTACTACAGGAGGGTAATAATAACAACATAGTACTTTCAATATTTTAACCATAACATATACAAGTCATATTTATCTGAGTAGAAAAGCACATTTTAAATAATTTTTGACTTTCAAAAATAATTATTTCTGTACAATAAAAAATTCTGTTGTTACATATTAATACAGCAAAGCAGGGTGAAAAAAGCATTTTATTAAATTAAACATTGGATAAAATTTTAGGAATTAGTTTTCACTTTAAAATGTCCTGTACTTTTATATAAGCTAAATTTTAAATAGACTAGTAAAAAGGAACAATTTGTAAGAATATATAACTTTTTTGCCAAACCATGTTAGGATCTCTTAAAATATTTCAATCTCTTTTTTTGGAAAAATTCTGGCATATCTTTGATTTAAAAACTGAAAAATATCACAATCCACAAATTAACTTAAGAACTAAACATCCTATTAGGTTGAACCTTGTGAAATTTTCAGCTATAAAAGTAACAATTGCATATGTTTTAATGCAATAATTTCCCAGTTTGTATCTTCAGCCATGAGAAGAACCTTAAAAAGACTCTTTTCACTTTTACTTGTAATTATAGTTTTATAAGGCAGGATACATTCTTACTTAATACGAATCTCTTACAGAATATACCATATTTTTTGGCTTTTAGGACAGATTTGCAAAATAATTAACTCAATCAAAATTGCAAAATATATCCAAAATAATTCTTTTAAGTACTTATTTTTCCTACTAGTGAAAAATCACAATTCAAAATCCAGAAAATACACAGTCACTTACTTTGGTAGAGTTTTCAAGTGGTTTTCTCTTAACTCCAAGATTCGCAATTTGACAAGTCTATAGAAATGAATTTTGAAAATTACTTCTTAGTATTTCTGTATAAAAAGTTATTCTTACGATAAACTATTATTATCATTACCCAAACAACTATTTCCAAACATTTTTTACTACAGTTACAGATTTTGAAGAAGTTCATGGATTGATTTTGAGTAGGGTTGCATCAACATTGGGCAATGACAAATGTCACTTTCCTAAATAAATGAGATATTTCAGTTTTAGTTTTATAAAATTATATTTATTGTGTTTAATTTCATGCATTCAACAGATTATTGAATATATGCTAAATGCCAGGTACTGTGTTTGCCAGAATACAGTAATACTTTCCTTCAACAGACTATAAATAAACTTGCAAAGCAAATAGTATAGCATAGAATTAAAAAACTTGGGCTTTGTGGTAAGACAGATCTGGTTGAAATCCAAACTCATATTCTTTCTCTGTGACACTGGACAAATTAACTAATCCCTCCTAATTTCGGTTTCTTTATATGGATGTGATAGTCCCCAATTTACAGGGGTTTGAATATTAAATGATATAATAATTTATGTAAAGCATAATGTAAAGCATAATCCCTGGTATATCATAAGTTTTAATAAGTGTTAGCTATTATTATTTTCATTAATTATACAATTGAAAGAATGGTATAACATACCATATTTCATTGACTCTAAGGTACACATTTTAACATTTATGAAAAGGATATGCATTTAAAAATCTGTGGCATTGCCCATCCTGTGCCAGTGCTAGGGTTGAGGAAATCATAGGAAGAGGATAAGAGGTGTTCATAGTTTCTGCCGTTTGAGTAACATTTTACAATTAGGACATGTTTCTTTGTTTCTATGCCTATAAAGGTATTTCCCAACCTAAGAGCCATAAATATTCACGTGCATTTTTTTCCAGATCATTTCTGGCTCTAGTTTTTAAATTTAGCTCATTAATTCATCTGGAATTTATTTGATTATTAATGCCATGTAAAGGGCTAATTTTACTTTAGTTTTTGCCAAAAGTTTTACTAATTAACAGAATCTCATTTATTGAATAATAATGAGGCCTATCTTTAATCACAGCTGTCACTTTTGAAGCCTCATCTACTGGCACTAGTAAAGCACTTACCTAAGGTGAAATAAAATTGCATAATTTAAATTTCTTATTCTTACCTTCCAAAATTGGCTGGAAGAAATTCAAGAAAGGCGTCATTCAGATAGAGCTGGGTCAAGTTTAGAAGCTGCGTGAAGCCATCAGGGAGTCTAAAAAGGAGTTAAAGTTTTAGTTACTGCATCAATGTTGCTATAGAAACAGAACAAAAATATACATATCTCTGATGAGAAAAAAATAGAAATGTAATACATTTTTCAACTCTCCTTTAGTATTAAAGCATTGAAAGAATTTATTGAGCATGTTGTTACAGCTTGAAAAATTCGCCTGTTATTAAAATAAATGGCATTTACCCACCTCCACGCTCTTTTCCAGAGATTTATGTCACTGCTAAAGTCAGCGACATCATCTCTTACTTCTGGCTTAACTTTGTGCACAAGACATTTTTTTATAGAAATTTCAAATTGTACGGCATGTTTTGTAATTTTAAAATTAATGTTCCCTTTTCAACAGAATATTCATATATATGTCAGGCAAGAATATCTCCTTACTGTTTTACATAATCATCAAAATTTGTCTACAATTTGTTATGGTGATGATTAAAGCTGCTCAATATGAAAAGAGAGGGGTAGAAGGAGTATGTTGTCCCCTTAACTGAAAATTTCTTTAATGCAAGCTCAAAATGCATGTACATTATGATTCAAATTGGTCTAACTCATATTTATTAAAAATGAGCAAGAACATAGAAAAAAAATTAAACAGAATCATAAATGCTATAAGAGGCATTAAAAAAAGAGAGAACATCCTTTGGGGGGAATTTTAGAAATTAGATGAAATAATTATTTGAATTAGTGAATCTTTTTCACTAAAAAAGGTTTAATTCAAAGATTTTCTGGGAAACTTTTTCTTAGAAGAGTACTTAATTTTTTCCTATTAATAAATTTCTATTTAAACATTTTAATGCCTTTATTTATAGTCTAGTCCAGATTATGTTCTTTTATAAAATACCTTTAAATAGCCTTCAAATTTGTCTTCTCCTCAAGTCACATCCTATCTTCCTCCTTGCATTTATTGCCAAAATTATTTAAAGAGCTGCCTATACTTATTGTTTTTTACTACTACTCAAACTATAGTTTTCTGGCATCTACTCCAACTCTATTACTGAAAATACACTCACCAAAGCCTCCAATGACCTCTTAAATGCCAGTTCCATTAACCTCATTTCATTTTATATCCCAGACTGTCTAGCAACAGTTGCCATCATTGACTGTTCTCTCCTGTGCCTCTACAAAGACAGTTTTCCTGCTTCTCTTCATCTTGGGATATCGGATCTGAGTTTCATTACATGGCTTCTCTTCCTCTGACCAACTTTTTGTTACAAAATAATTTTATATACATAAAAGAATATATTTGTACACACAATAGAATGAAGAAATAGAACCAGTACCCTTTGAAACCCTCTGGGTGACCCTCCCTGACTACATTTTCCTATTTACCCCACAAAACCCTGAATGAGGTTTACTATACTGCTTTCTAAACAGCTTTAGTATAACTATTTAATTCCCTAAAACATGTGGCTTTACATGTTTTTGAACACTATAAATCAGATCATTCTGTGTACATTTTCCACAGGCTTTTAAAAATTAGCATTAGAACTGAATGGGGAAAAGTTGAAAGCATTCCCCCTAAGAACTGGAAAAAGACAAGGACGCCCACTGTTACCACTTCTGGTCAACATAGTACTGGAAGTTTGAGCCAGAGCAATCAGACAAAAGAAAGAAAGAACAGGTATCTAAGTCAGGAAAAAAGAGGTCAAATTATCACTTTTTGCTGATGATATAAACTCGTATCTAGAAAACCCCAAAGATTCCACCAAAAGACTCCTGGAATTGATAAAAAAAAAATTCAGCAAAGTCTCAGTTTATAAAAATCAATGTACATAAATGGCATTTCTATATATAATAACAATCAAGGTGAGAGTAAAAAAAAAGACTCAATACCACACAATAGCTACAAAGGAAATAAAATACCTATGAATATACTTAACCAAAGAGGTGAAAGATCTTTACAGGGAGAACTAGGGAACACTGAGGAAAGAAATTGTGGATAACATAAACAAATAGAAAAACATCTCACGCTCATGTATCAGTAGAAACAACATTATCAAAATGCCCATACTACCCAAAGTGATTTACAGATTCAATGCCATCTCCATCGAAACATCACAATCATATTTCATACATCCAGAAAAATTAATGCTATGTTTCATTTCGAACCAAAAAAGAGCCTGGATAGCCAAAGCAATCTTAAGCAAAAAGAACAAATCTGGAGGCATCATATTATCAAACTTCAAACTATACTACAAGGCTATAAGGTAACCAAAATAGCATGATATTGGTACAAAAACTGGAGGCATAGACCAATGGCACAGAACAAGGAAGCCAGGTATAGAAACATCTACCTACAGTCAACTGATATTTGACAAAGCAGGCAACAATGTATACTGGGGAAAAGAACCCCTGTTCAATAAATAATGCTGGGAAAATTGGATAGCCACATGCAGACGAATGACACAGGACCCCTATCTCTCACCATCCACAAAAATTAATTCAAGATGGATTTAAATGTAAGGCATGAAACCATAACAATTCTAGAAGAAAATATAGAAAAAATTTTCTAGATATCAGCCTACGCATAGAATTTGTGACTAATACCCCAAAGGCAATTATACCAACAATAAAAATAAAGAAATGGGACTTGATTAAATTTAAAACCTTCTGCACAGCAAAGGAAATAATCAACAGAGCAAATAGACAACTTATAGAATGGGAGGAAACATTTTCAACCTATACATTTGATGAAGACCTAATATCCAAAATCTACAAAGAACTCAAATAAATCAGCAAGAAAAAAACCAAATAATCCCATTAGAACGTAGGCAAAAGATATGAACAGAAGCTTTTCAAAAGAAGATAGATAAATGGCCAATAAACATATGAAAAAAATGCTCAATGTCACTAATCATCAAGGAAATGCAAATTAAAACCACAATGAGATATCACCATACCCCTGTTAGAATGGTTTTTATGAAAAAGTGCAAAAACAACAGATGTTGGCATGGATGCAGAGAGAAATGAATGCCTATACACTGTTGTTGAGATTGCAAATTAGTATAACCTCTATATAAAACAGTATGGAGAGTTCTTGAAGAACTAAAAGGAAACCATTTGATCCAGGAATCCCACTACTGGGTATCTACCCAAAGGAAAAGAAGTCATTTTGTTAAAAAGACACCTGCACTCAAATGTTTATTGCATCAAAATTCACAATTGCAAAGATGTGGAATCAACCCAAGTGCCCATCAATTCATGAGCAGATTAACAAAATGTGGCATATGTATACCAGTGAGTACTACTCAGCCATAAAAAGAAATGAATTAATGTCAATGCAGTAATTTGGATGGAACTAGAGACCATTATCCTAAGTGAAGTATCTCAAAAATGGAAAAGCAAACACCACATGTGCTCTCTGATAATTCTAACTAATTCATGGGCACACATGGGCACAGAAAGAAGTAAAAAATGTTAGAAATTAAGGAGGAGGAGGAGGAGGGGAGGGGTTAAGATCTACCTAACAGGTACAATGAACACTCTTCAGGTAGGCACACTTAAAGCTCTGACTCAAGCATTATAAAAGCTAGTCATGTAGCAAAAACATTTGTACCTTCTTAATGTAAAAACAATGAGCATTAGATCTTTTAAATTCATCCATTTTGATGTGACCGATTGGCCTTCATAGCATAGTATTCCATTGTATGAATATATAATTTATTTACCATTTTCTTTCTAATGAACATTAGAGCTTTTCTAGTTTTTGGTTTTCCTATTGCAAACATTTCTTCTGTGAACATTTTTGAACATAAATAATGGTGTACATTTACAAGACATTATTTAAGTTGTATCCCTATAAGTGATGTCTCTATATCATAGGAAATGCAAGTTTAATTTTAATAGATATAACCAAATTTCATTCAAAGTAGTTTCACTCATTTATAATGAAACCATCACTGAATAAGAACTTTTTTCCTGTCCTATAATAAGAATCAGTAAACATGAGTAGTTATACTACATTTACTTAGTACTATTTTTATTTTGACCTTTAAAAAAATATTAACTAGAGTACAATTTTAAGTACTTTTATAATCATGAATTTTCATTATTTGAATAAGAAAATTAAGTTTGGCTGCAGACACCCTCATTTCAACACTTTTCTCATTGCATTTATTTTAGAAGTTAAGTAAAAACATATTACAGACATCTTACCTCTAACAGAACAGTTAAGTCATAAAAAATTACAAGTTTTATATGTTGTGATTAAGAAGCCAATGTAAAAGCTTCTACTCTAACTGGAAAGGTATTTTACATCTAAAGATTTTTATTTATATATAGCTTAAAATTATCAAATTAATATAACAATATTAGAGAACATTTGGAAAATAAAAAGTATTATTCACAATTCTACCAACTTAACACAGTGACAATTATGATTTCATTTATTTCTTTCTAATCTGCTATTAATTGTTTTAATATCACTGCAAACTGGTATTAATTTATAATTATCTTTCAAATTTTGCTGTTTAAATAGAGTAACTACATAATTTATAATTCAAAATAGGACACTTTTGAGAGTTAAAAGGGAGCTATTATTAAATATGCCACATCAAGAAAAGTAAACAGAGATGATCTGCAGAGACATATGGTCATCCTACATGTAACCTTCATATCTACCCAGTAGATGTACTGTAATTTACTAGTAATTTCTTCATTGTTAAACATTAAGAATGTTGCACTTGTTTCAAAATATATCCTTTAATTTATACCAAATAAAAATGCTTCTTCAGATATGGTAAAATATAGTAAAGGAACTCAGGAATTTAAATACTGACCTCATGCATTTCTATCTGTAGAAAAGCAATAATATTAAATAGCTATCTATATAATGAAGTTGCTGTGAAAATTAAAATGAAATAACATATCTAAAAGCCTGAGACATGGCAGGTTCTCTAGAAATGTTAGCTCTTGGTTTTCTCATTGAGTAGTCATTTTTAACTTTATTATTATAGTTTTCATCAATGATTTAGCTAAGGCATTCAGGCTATACTATAAAGTTCATATCTAAAAGTAAAACTAAAATGCTAACACTCACAACTATAACTTTTATATTATAGAGTTTTCATGGCCTAATACTTTACATATTTCCTAGGGCAAAGAAAATAACAGAAAAGCAATACAGAAAAATCAGTAGAACTCAAATTTGGTTTTATAAAAAGATAAATAAAATAAAAAATCTTTAGTCAGATATATCAAGCAAAAAAAGAAAAAAGACACAAATTTGCAGCAACAGGAAAGAAAGAGTATCACTAGAGAGCCTACAGATATTAAAGGACTAATAAAAAATTTTTTGAAAATGATATGCCAATAAGTTTGAAAACTTACACAAAGTGTACAAATTCCTGAAAAACACAAATTACTAAAGATAGCTCAAGAATAAATAGGTAGTTTGAATAGCCATATAGGTATCAAGAAAAATTAAACTTGTAATTAAACTTTCTTATCATGAAAACTCCAGACCTAGATGGCTGCACTTGCATATTCTCCAGTATTTAAGGAGAATAACATTAATTGTATATCAACTCTTGTAGAAAATAGAACATTTCCCAGCTCATTTTATGAAGCCAGTTTTACCTTGAAAGCAAAGTCAGACAAAGACAAGAGAAGAAACTTTAGACTAATCTGCCTCATCCATATAGATGGGAAAATGCTTAACGAATTATAGCAAATCAGAGTCATCAATATATAAAAAAAGAGTAATACTTCATAACTGAGTAGGGTTTACCCCTGGAATACAAAGTTAGAATGGCATTCAAAAATCATATGATCAAACTAAAGAAGAAAAACCATAAGATTAGTCAATAGATGTTATAAAAAAGAAACCTCAACTTTGACCAAATTCAACATCCATTGATAATAAATAATCTCAATAAACTAGATATCAAGTGTGACAGATACATTTCAGGTGGCCCTTGTGTTCCTCACCTCCTGATGTTCATGCCTTCTTCCTTTGATTGTTGGTAGGAGCTGACTTGCTACTAATCAATAGAATGTGGCAAATATGATGGGAGTTACTCCCATAGCTATATTACATTAGATAGCTCTGTCTTGCTGAGACTCACTCTCTCTCAGCTGCTGGCCCAGGAGAAGCAAGCTGCTATATTGTAAACTGCCTTTCAAGAGGATCAATGGCAGGGAACTGCACACAGCCTTTAGGTCCCATGTGTAGCCTCCCTCTGACAGCCAGCAAAAAGCTGGGATTCTCATGGTAGTAATACTCATTGGGAATCGGTGAGGTGGGGGGAGATGGGGAGAGATGGGGGAGATGGAAGCAGAATGCACTATATGGGGGAGGAACACTTGTAGCCCTGGCTTGGGTGGGGCAAAGGCATTACATGTAACCAAAATGTTTCTACTCCCATAATAACCTGAAAAAAATGTGAAAAAAGAAAAAGAAAAAAAGTTGGGACTCTCAGCTTTGTAACAAGGAAATGAACTCTGCAAACAATCTGAATGAGAGTGCAAATGGATTCTTCACCAGGTGAGTCTCCAGATGAGAATACATTTGGCTCACATCTTGACTATAGCTTGGTGAGAACTTTGAAGCAGGGAAGCCAGATAAGCCATGTCCAAATCGCTGACACAATAATGCTGAGAAATAATAAATATGTGTGGTTTCAAGTTGCCAAGCTTGTGGTAATTTGTTACATAGCATTAGAAAACTAATACAGATTTTGGTACCTGGTATTGAGGTTTTACTATAACAAATTCCTAAACATGTGAAGTAGCTTTGGAAGCAGGCAGTGATCACAAACTGGAGGATGCTAAAAAAAAAACATGATAGATAAAGCCTGCATTTTCTTGAAAAGACTATTAGTAGAAATCTAAACTTTGCAGACCATTTTAAGTCCTTTTGTTGGTGAGGACTTAAAATGAAGTGAGTGGCAGGTCCTAGAAACCTTCTCAACCTAATAAAGGGCATACCTGAAAAAAACAAGTAACAATCACACAATTGTGAAAGTCTAAATGCTTTCTCCCTAAGATTAGGAACAAGACAATGGTATCTGCTTTCACCTCTTCTCTTCAATACATAAAGGAAGTTGGAGCCAGAACAATAAGACAAGAAAAAATAAATAAGTAAATAAATAGCATCTAGATTAAAAATGATAAACTAAAACTGTCTTATTCGCCACATAGAAAATCTCCCCAAATGTGCCAAGCGCAGTGGCTCAAGCCTGTAATCCTAGCACTCTGGGAGGCCGAGGCAGGAGGACTGCTTGAGCTCAGGAATTTGAGACCAGACTGAGCAAGAGCGAGATCCTGTCTCTACTATAAATAGAAAGAAATTATCCAAACAACTAAAAATAGAAAAAAATTAGCCGGGCATGGTGGCACATGCCTGTAGTCCCAGCTACTCAGGAGGCTGAGGCAGGAGGATTGCTTGAGCCTAGGAGTTTGAGGTTGCTGTGAACTAGGTTGATGCCATGGCACTCTAGACTGGGCAACATAGAGAGACTCTGTCTCAAAAAAAAAAAAAAAAAACTACAAAAATAATCTAATAGAACTAATGAGTTTAGTGAGATTGCAGGATATAAGGTAACTATACAAAAATCAATTGTATTTATATACACTAGTATCAAACAATTGGAATAATAAAAATCATTAGCAACAGCACAAAAAACATGAACTACTTAGGAATAAAATGAGTAAAACATGTAAAATTTGTATGCCAGAATCCATAAGAATTGATGAAAGAAATTTTAAAAGACCTAAATCAGTATGGAACTATACTATGCTCAGGGATAAGAATACTCAATATTTTTGAGATGTCATTTCTGCCCAAATTGATTTACAGGTTCAATGCAATCCCTACAAAAATTCCAGCAGGCTTTAATACTTATGTGGAAGTTATCATGTTGGTTACATTTATGTAGAAGATCAAAGGGTATAGACTAGCCCAGACAATTTTGATAGAGAAGAACAAAGTTGAAGTATTCACATTCCATGACTTCATCACTTACTATAAAGCTACAGTAATAAGATAGTATGGAATTGCTGCATATAAAAACTATATTTTTAAAAACCTGGCTTTAAAAATTAATGTACTATTTAAATTGATTTTTCTATAGAGTAATTTTTTATGAATTTCTAAATTGTCTAATGTTTATAGTTTTATATATTTTTTGTGAAATAGGTCACATTTACTTATCTTTTAGAAAGTTACACATATAAAAGGAATGAAGAGACATATCTGATGTGACTGTAGACTTTAAACTTTTTAAATATGTTAATTCATCATCTGGCTTCCATTCCCATTTTTACCATTATTCCTAAATAGGATAAGCTATTAGTATTAAAAAATAAGGAATAAAACAATTTATCATCTACTCTGGATTGTTATAACTCAAGTCAAGGACATGGTTGTACTTCTGGTACGAGAGATTAGTAACATCTATTTCGTTGAGATGTTGAAAAAATTGCATTTGGTCCAAGAGTTTTTGAAAAGCTTTTCAAGGCTTTGTTTTGTTTATGTTTTTCCTCCATATTCTACTTTGAGGTACAGAAATTATAATTTTCAAACACACTTTAGTGCTTGATGTTCCAAATTTTCTACCAAAGGCCTCAAATTATTTCACAAACCATTCAATGTAAAGATCTCCATCTAAACTTCTATTTCATTCTTCTACATTCCATGCCTGGTCTCAACTAGAGCCTCTTCCTATGATCCATAGAGAATCACCTCACTATTCCATCTCCTCAACTCTATTGGTATAAAATTTCCCATCAACTTCTCTTTGACAAATTTCTTCATATCTTCTTCTGAAAATACTCCATACATTGAATGCCTTTCTAATGGCCTTCGATTTCTCCCAGACTCCCTAACTTCATGTGGACAAAAGACAGAAATTTTTCTCTAATCCTGCTGTCAGCCTGTATAATTAAAATTTCAGTCTTACTCTGAAACTCACTGTCTGCATCTGAATACTACTGATTTGTTTATACCTCTTCAAAATACAACTGTCAACAGCCATTCTAAATTTTATTCCCATTTCCATTGTTAAGTGACATTAGCATTCAGGTTCATGACTTATCCTTGCTTCATGGTTTCTTGACCTACTTGATTCCATAGACTTCTGTCATTACACGATACCCCAAATTCACCAACATGATCACATAATGGGTCTCATTTTCCCATGGCATTTCTTACTAACAAATGTTGAACCACTTATACCCTTTTTCTAATCACAGCATCTTTACCGTCCATATCTTTCATTCTGCTACCCTTATAGGACTATCGCTTTGTTCTTGCTGCAGTCTCTGGTATACAAGCATTCCCTATTTCTGGTCATGCTTAATTCCTTTGAGCTACACAGTCAGTTATTTTTATGTACTCATCAAAAACTTAAACTCCTGCACTCTCTTGAACTTCTATCGGATTCTTGATAGAAGTTCCCACCATGGCTATATTCCCACCATGGCCATAACTAACAGCTCTTTTCTTAGTTTCAACTCTCATCCATGGAATGTTGCCTGAGAACTACAGAAGAAAATGATGAAATAGTTTGCTTCAAAGTAATGTAATCTTGTGTCAATTGGGACTTCATTGCCACTCAGCAATGCTTTTAATCATCTTTTAACAAACCATTCTGATGTAATTATTTAATTCCTATCATTCTATTAAATTCCATATCAATACTATATTTAAGTTCAGTTATTTGTGAATTTCATCTATCTTGGTACATTATTTTCTAGTGGAAACATACACATAAATAAAATAGAATCACCCATACTCACTTAGAAATGGGATTGACACTGGCTTCAATAATTGTTAAACACTTACAGCACTTTATGTTTTCTGGAAATTCTTGTACACCTAAAATGTAAAAAAAATGAAAGTACATGAAAAGGTTCCAGCAAACATTCTTTAAACTATCGTTTTAATATTAAGAATAATTATTAAAATTATGAGTCAAAACATAGTATAAACACCATTTAGGATAAGTATGAACAATAACTTAATATATTAGTATCATATAATATATACATTTTTTCTAATAAAAGTTGAATGTTAAATAATATTTTTATGATAGTAATAGTTGTAAATTGGATATAAAATTGAGGACAATTGTATATTTAGCCTAAGATAGAACTTTGACATTTACTAACCTAAAGAATTAACAATAGCTCGAGCTACTTACTTATAGTGTCACTACTGAAAGAGGGGAGAATCAGCATATATAAAGAAAACAGAAGATAAAACCTTTATTTCCAGAATCATTTTATAAGATTGGGAACACGGAATACATACATGTGAAAAAATACTTAAAGACACATCACAAACAATAAATATTCCCAAACTAACATGGGTCTCTAATGAATTTTATGGAATTCTTTCTTGTTGGCTGCACAGAGTGTAGCTCTGCATCTGCCTGAAAGTGTGAAGAGATGAGCATCTCTTCCTTGTGTCCTCCCTGGAGTCTCTGAAGTAGTCTCTGGCTTATTGCCTTGGAGAATTGCTCATCTGCTGTCACAGCTGTGCTATTGGCTTTGTGACAGAAAAACACAGATATTTCTATGAAACTGAAAATAAGGAAGCCACAAACCTAATCTATAAATGTGAGGGTCAGAAGAATAAAAGATGTGGGATAAACTTCAACCAATTGATACAAATGGTGCAATAGAGTAGGCTTTGTAAAAGTTAGGAAGATTGAAGCTGTTACTATGTGATATATCTGCAGTACCACTTTCTCCCAATTTTTGAAATTATTATTAAAGATATAAAAAATTCCATAAAAAAACTAGTATTGTCCAGTACTTCATATCTTACAGAAGAATAAGAAACATTTTTGTGGCAGGATGTAGTTGAGTTCAAGAAACAAAAGATTCTATCTTTCCACTAAGTTCAGTGGCTTATGCCTAAAATCCCAGCACTTTGAGGTGGGAGCATTGCTTGAGGCCAGGACTTCAAGATCAGCCTGGGCAACATAGTGAGATTCTGTGTCTATAAAATAAAACAATTAGCCAGGGTGATGGCATGCACCTATAGTCCCAGCTACGTGGGATGCTTAGGTGAGAGGATTGCTTGACCCCATGCGTGTGAGGTTATATGGAGTTATGATTATGCCACTGTACTCCAGCCTGGGCAACAGAGTGTGACTCCATCTCAAAAAAAAAAAAAAAAAAAAAAGATAAAAAAAAGAAAAAAAGGCAGTCAAATCCAAGACAGGTCATTTATTATCCAATGCAAAATAAGGGTACAAAGAAGAGCATGGGCTGTTTCTCACCCCATTTCTCTCTATGTGAAAATGCATTAGAAATTATGTTGCCCTTAGATCAATGGAACAGAATAGAGGACCCAGAAATAAAGCCACATACTTACAGCCAACTGATCTTTGATAAAGTCAACAAGAACATACACTAGGGAAAGGATACCCTTTTCAATAAATGGTACTGGGAAAATTGGATTGCCATATGTATGCATAAGAATGAAACTGGACCCCTATCTCTCACCATATACAAAAGTCAACTCAAGATAAATTAAAGACTTGAGTGTAAGATTGGACACTATAAAAATACTAGGGGAAAAAACACAGAGAAAATTCTTCTGGACAGTGGTCTAGGCAAAGAATTACTCAAAAGCACAAGCAACAAAAACAAAAATAAAAGAATGGGACTTAATTAAACTACAAAGCTTTTGCACAGCAGAAGACATAACCAACAGAGCCAACAGACAGCATGCAGAATGGGAGAAAATATCTGCATATTGCACATCCAATGGGGAACTAATATCCAGAATTTACAAGGACTCAACAAAAAACCTCACAGTTAGCCCTATTAAAAAGTGGGCTAAGGACATGAATAGACATCTTTCAAAAGAAGACATACAAATGGCTAGAAAGCATATGAAAAAATGTCCAACATCACTAATCATCAGAGAAATTCAAATTAAAACTATAGTGAGATATCTTACACCAATCAGAATGGTTACTATTAAAAAGACAAGAAATAACAGATGTTGATGAGGGTACAGAGAAAAGGGTGTGGAGAAACTCTTGTACACTATTGCCGGGAATGTAAATGAGTGCAACCTCTATGGAAAACAGTATGGAGATTTCTCAAAAAACTAAAAATAGAACTACCATACAATTCAGTAATTCTACTTCAGGATATCTACCCAAAGGAAATAAATCAATATATAAAAAAGATATTTGTACTCATATGTTTATCATAGCACTAATCATAATAGTAGATATATACAATCAATCCAAATGTCCATCAGTAGAGAATTGGATAAAGAAAATGTATTTATACAAAAAGGAATACTATTCAGCTACAAAAAGGAATGAAATCATGTACTGGAGGCCATTATCTTAAGTGAAACAACTCAAACACAGAAAGACAGATAGTGCATGTTCTCACTTATAAGTGAGAGCTAAATAATGTGTACACATAAAAGCAGAGTGTAGAATGAAGGACAATGGATATTGGGAGGGGTGGAGATGGAAGGGGGAGTTAATGATGGGGGGTTGCTTCATGGGTTCCATGTGTGTTACTTCAGTGATGTATGCACTGAAGCCCCTACTTCAACAAAATATAATATATCAGTATAGCAAAGTTGCACTTGTACCCCATGAATAAATACCAAAACAATGGGAAAAAAGAAATTATACTATCTTAAAATGATTGCTGAATTATTTTAGCTTCTAAATAAGAAATCAGGTAAGTCTGGGAGCTCAATTATATATGAATTTAGTAAGAACGACTGATTCTCTTTTTAGGAAGGTCATAAGTAAGATCTAGAGCTACTCTCATTAAGTAGATGTTAAAAAATAGCAATCCAGTCAATAAGCTAACCTGTGAACCATCGTTATTATTTCCCCTTAGAATTCATATATACTTTGGATATCTGTAACCAATAGGAGTACAGGCTTCTTCTATTCTTTCTTAAACTTTTTCTGTGCAGTCTCCAATCTGAGCTTATTACATGCTGTTGTGCCTGATGCCTTATCTTCATAGGTTCCTACTGTGAAATGATATTCTGTTAAATTATGTGTAAACCAAGATATGGAAGCAGAAGTAAATTAAAGTATGATTATAATGAAGAGACTGAATCTATTTATCTTCTGCTAAAAATAGAATTGCCTACTGTGATGAAAATGGTACTACCTTATTTGTCCAAAATGTATATTATGTTGCTTACAGTTTAAATTTAAAATAATTCAAAGTAGAGTCTGTTGACTTGAGGTAGAATCCCAGATTTATTACTTACTGACTGGGTAACTCTAGGCAAGTTATTTAAACTCTCAATATCTTAGTTTCCTACTCTGAAAAACGATGGTTATATAAATGGTTTCATCATAGAGTTGTAGTCAGGATTGAAAGAGATGATACAGAAAACGCAATTGGCACAAAGTACCATAATAATGTCATTCATAATTATTAGAAATAAAAAAGGAATCAGAGGATGTTTGTCAATAAAAGAACCAAAATCACATCAAAATGAGCTAACTTTAGTATAACTTTATAAAATTTATGTTTCTGAGAACAAAGGAGAGAAGTAAGAATTAGTGTGCTGAAAGAATATGCCAATACTTAATCAATACAGTAGTTGAGATAAATTCTCTTGCAGATAAAATGCAATTCATATATAAATTATATTTTACATATATAATTATATAATAATGTAACATATTGTGTGTGTTTATAGTACATGTATATATGCTGTTGAGGACTCAGAAGTACCAGACATTGTGCTAAGGGGACAGACATTAAAAATGAAGTGAAGGTGACTTTACATCATTTTTTTCAAATTTATATTCTAACTTAAAAGAATGATTGGAAGAAAAACTCTATGGGAGAATAAAAAGAAAAATCTGAGGAAATTTTCTAGAAAATTAGTAAAATTCAATCAAAAAACCCAGAAAAGATAAAATTAGAATAGTTCAGACATTTTAGTATGTAAATAATAAAAGCCCCAAGAAGAGTGAACTGAGAAAACAAAGAATAGGAAATCCTAAAGAAACAATTCCGGAATGTTTCAGTAATTTTAAAGAATAAACAACAAAATAGTAATCTTTTGTAATAGATCTTTATAATCTTTTCTAATAGATTAGAAAAGCTTACCAGTTCAACGAGTACTGGAATAAAGAGAAGGGAAAAAATACAGATTTTATACAAAGTATCAAGATCTAGATGGTATTTAACTTCTCATAAATATTTGGAATGAGAACATTATATATATAATGAGGAAATATATACAAATTCTGAAGCAAAATAATTTCCAACTAAAATCTTGTACACCACCAAACTATTATTCGCCCAACTATAAAGATGAGGGTAGAATAAAAATGTTTTCAGAGTGACATCAGCAAGATGGCAGAATAGGAGTTTTATACTATCATCTCACAGTGTGCTGATTTTGACAATCGTCTACAGATGAGAGTACCTTTGCAGGAGTCTGAGTATCTGGCAGAGAAATTCCAGTACATCATTGGAGCAAAACATATAAGAATAGATGCATTGAAGAGGGTAAGAAGACTAATTTCACTTTACCCATATCAACCCTCCCCTAAGGTGGTACAGCTCAATATTAAAAGATACCTCTTCCGTCTATGATTCCCCCACAGGAGAAAAAGTGCAGTGAGTGAGTGCCTGGCTTCCCCAGCTGTGTGTAACACTGCTATGCATGCCCACCCCTTTCTTGCTCCACCCAGAACACTGAGGGGATTAGCATGGCTGTGTGGGTGGGAGAGGCTGGAAGCAGGGAAGAGAGGTGGAGACTCAGCAACCACAGCTCAAAACTAAACAAAGAATTGTATAGCCTACTATTCTCTATCAGAAGTTTCACCCATGAGCTACTTGGTATACCTCATC